TGACTTCCATTTAACACAAGTTGTATTAGAAATTTGTCAGAAAACTTGAGTGAGGAGGACAGTGTTCTTAGAGGTCACCTTAAGAATAATATCTGAAGAGGTGATAGCTGAAACCATTTTTTCTTAAGCAGTAGAAGAAGGTCCCCAGTGTTGCCTGCTCCATAGAGGTCTATGATGCTAAGAACTATCAAAGGTACGATTGATTTGCTCATGGAACCCCTGAGAAGAGGTAGAGAAGAGCATAAGTAGAGTGGTCCGGGGGAGTTAGATGCAAGGTTTAAGAGTGAATGGGGAAAAAAGGAGCCAAGAGTGCAGATGAAGTCTGGCTTTGAAAAAAAGTGTGACTTCGAGGGGGCAGAAAAGAGTCATAAAATGAAGTTATGGGGATGTGTGGTATTAATATGCTTTACTTTTTTCCAGTTACTTTTTTAGAGATCAGAAATGAGTGAACATTCAGAGAGAACCAATTCAATTCAAGAGGGACTCACAGATCATAGTTCTTCTGAGAAAAACTGTCAAATTGGACAGAAACAGCTGGTATGATACACAGATTTTATGATTCCATGTCATTTGGGGACTACCTATTGGAGAATCTCTGAGATGGGTGGGAAGGTGGGCCTAGTCAGGATTTCACAGGAAGGATCTCTGCTACCCCACACTGATGGAGCTTTTTCTTCTCTTCATTCTGTTTACTGTTAAGCTGGTATCCCCTCACTTATCTTCTCATGCCTCTCATGTCTCCTGACTTTTAGCCCAGTGTTCTGTGCAATAAAATCCTGCCCTCGGAGTAGAATTTGTGGACTATATATTCAAATATTTTTATTTAACAAAACCTTATTTTGTTGTCATTATGTCATGTTATGGTCCTAAAACTAGGTATGTATTAACTTAAATAATCCTTATCATACAACACTATTGTTAACTCCATTTAACAAAAGGAGAAACTGAGGCTTAGAGAAGTAGAAACTTGCTTAAGGCATACCACTAACAAGTGGCAGAATGGAGAATTGAGAACAGGTAGACTTGCCTTGTGTCTCTGTTCTCAACCTCTTGCTGTGCTACACAGAATAGTAATAGATGATATTAAATTGTACTGATTTCATAGCCATACCTAATGCAGAACAGTTTCATAAGGTAAAGTTGGTAGAACAAACCCATATACATACAAATAGTTGAAATTTTGAAGAAACGCATTTGTATTATTTTAAACTGACTAGACTATTACTAAGCTAAACAAGCTGCAGAAAAACCTGTGAGATTCTGTAACTAATTTGTTACACTGAAACACATTTTTTTGGAGGGCAGGATCCTTGTAGTGCAGGCTTCCCCTACAAGGCAAATGTTCTAGGAACTCATTGGCATCAGTGAAACAGTTAGCATTCTTGTGAGAGACTGTAAAAAAAAAAAAAAAAATTACATTCTTTAAATGTGTTTCCCCATCTCATGATGGGTGATTTACAAGTGCACCTGCCCACACTGTGCTAAACTTTCAGCAGTTTTTGACCAAAAATGACATGACACTACTGCCCCACCCTTCCTATTCACTGGATCTTGCCCCAAGCAACACCTCCCCCGCCCCCCATGAAAAAAGACCTCAAAGGGAATCACTTTGCCAATGTGGAAGAGGTAAAACAAAAAAATGGTAGAAGCACTAAAAGACATCAGAATTGATGAGTTCAAAAACTGTTTTGAGCAATGGGGAAAGCATCTCAATAAGTGCATGCATCAAATGGAAAGTAAATATGTAAAAATAAATACATAATTTTTTACAAATAAATTCTGGGGTTTTTTGGAGCCAGCCCCCCCCCCATGTATGTCAGCTTATATGTTTTGGGGCTACTCAGATTTTTCTCACCTACAATCCTCCAGAAGAACATTCCATTTCCTCATGACATGTGCTGCATGTTCAAAATAAATAATCAGTACAATATTTGATTGAAGCATTTTGGGTTTTTTCTTTTCTTTTTTTTTTTTTTTTTTTGTCTTCCAGATCAGGTCCCATTTAATTTCTTTCTTTCTTTCTTTTTTCTTTTTGTCTTTTTTTTTCTATAGAGACAAGGTCTTGCTATGTTTCCTAGGCGGGTCTCAAATTCCTGGGCTTATGCAATGCTCCCACTTCAGTCTCCCAAAGTGCAGAGATAGAGGTGTGAACTACCACGCCTGGTCCTCTTTTTGTTTTTTATTTTATTATTATTTTTTGAGTCAGGTACTCACTCTGTCATCCAGGCTGGAGTACAGTGACATGATCAGGGCTTACCACAGCCTTGACCTTCTGGGCTCAGGCAATCCTTCCACTTCAGCCTCCTGAGTAGCTAGGACTACTGGTGTGCCACCACAATTGGCTTTTTAAAATATTATTTCTATTTTTGTAGAGACGAGGTCTTGCCATTTGCCTAAACTTGTCTTGAGCTCCTGGGTTCAAGCAATCCTTCTGTCTCAGCCTCCTAAAGTGCTGGGATTATAGGCATGAGCTGCCATGCCTCACCCATATTTGATTTCCAATTATAAAAGTCCCCCAACAGAAACTTTTGAAAATCTTCCATAACACTCTAGAAAGTCATTCTAGCAAGATTTTTTTGTTCAAGTCTGAAATTGACTGGGAGTGGATCCTTCAGGTGTCTACATTCCAACTGGAGCCCGGATGAGTCTACACTCCCCAGACAGAGAGTAGCTCTGAAACACATTCCAGAGGATATCCCACTAAGGGGAAGGACAATTTGTACTTTCTTTTCTCCCTGTGACTTGAGACACTTTATATGGGCTTCTTCAGATAACAGCTGAGGAAAGGCCTTTACTAACTTATCCTTATCCACTGTGAAATGCTAATTCCGCTGTTCATCCTCATCAAACTGGCAAACTGGTTGGTGTTTTGCAGGTATAAAAATAATTCTTCTGTTTCCCCCTGATTATTTTTTTACATTTTTATTATCTGAATTTTATATTTTGTATTTTTTTATTCAGAGAGAATGCCCTAATTTCAGAAAATATACCATCTTTAGAAACTTAATTAAACTGTTTATTTCTCTGTGTAAAGGGTATATACTTTCATGCCATTATGGTGAAAGGTACAGAAAGTTCATTTTGAGACAATGTAGGACAGATAAAACTATTTTATGTTTTTACTGCTAATAAATTTTATTTGTTTCACAGCAACAAATAGAGCGGCAGTTAAAATGCTTGGCATTTCAAAACCCTGGACCACAAGTAGCAGACTTTAACCCTGAAACAAGGCAGCAGAAAAAGAAAGCACGGATGTCAAAGATGAATGAGTATTTTTCTGCAAAATACAAGTAAGGCCACGATTTGTTATATTTGACTTGTGGGATTATAAAATTCATGATTTCTTGGCAAAGCAAAGTTATTAAAGGTTGTCTCTTTTTTTATTATTTAAAAATGTATCTTCTAAAGTGCAATAGCATCCATGTGCCTGAAAGTTAGCAACCTCAAGAAATAGAGAAATAGACTATAATCCCAAAGTAGAAATCAATTTTTAAAAAAAGCTTCAACAGCCCTGCACTAGAGTAATGCATTTAGTAGGGAAGATGTTGAAAATAGTAAAGATGTATTATTAGGAGGAGAAATAACATACCCACGAGAATAGATTCAGGATATCAAATGGGCACAGGACTACCATTAAGTACAATAATAGTGCATCAGAAGTATAAACTAAGCAAACCACAAAGGAAATGGTTTATAAATTTGACTATAATAAAATTAATAATTTATGCCCATTAAAACACACCCTGGCTGGGCTCGGTGGCTCCTGGCTGTAGTCCCAGCACTTTGAGAGGTTGAGGTGAGGGAATTGCCTGAGATGAGGGGATTGCCTGAGCCCATGGGTTTGAGAACAGCTTGGGCGAATTGGCGAGACCTCATCTCTGCAACAAATAAAAAAATTAGCCAGGCGTGCTAGCATGTGTCTGTAGTTCTGGCTGCTTGGAAGGTTGAGGCAAGATTGCCTGAGCCCAGAAAGTCGACGCTGTGGTGACTGTGAGCGTGCCACTGTACTCCAGCCTGGGTGATGGAGTGAGACTCCAACTCAAAAAAAAAAAGACACCCTAGACTGGGTGCAATGGCTCAAGCCTGTAAGCCCAGCACTTTGGGAGGCCAAGGGGAGAGGATTGCCTGAATCCAGGGGTTCAAGACCAGCCTGGGCAACTTGGTGGGACCTCATCTACAATATATATATTTTTAAAAATTAACTGGGAATGGGAGTGTGCACCTGTAGTTCGGGCTACTTGGAAGGCTGAGATGGAAGGATCACCTGAGCCCAGCAGGTCTATGCTGGGGTGGCTGTGAGTATGCCACTGCATTCCTGTCTGGGCAACACAGTGAGACTCTGACTCACACACACACAAAAAGGCACCCTAAAAACATTGAAAGATAAATTACATAGAGGGAGAAATTATAATATTAAAAAAATCAGTATCCAAAAAATATAAAAAGTCTTACAAATCAATAAGAAATATATAAACATCTTAATCGAAAAACTAATAAAATATTGAGCAGGCATTTCACAGAAGAAATGGCTAGTAAACATTCAGAACACTGAACCTCATCAGTACATTGTGAAGTGCCACACTTCCTAGATAGGCAAAGAGTTTAGTCTGCTGATATCAACATTGATGAAGCTTTGAAACATAAGTTGAGTATAGAAAGGAATAAGTACTATTTCCCATGCAATAAACCTGCACACGTACCTCTTGAATCAAAATAGCAAAAAAAACCAAAAGCTGTAAGCACTATTTAAAAACAGCTTGGCATTACCTATGTGCCTTAAGTCCTGATATTTTCACTCCTGAGTATATACCCTGGAGAAAGTCTAGCACATGTAAAAGGGGAGACACATTAAAGAATTGTCAGTGTAATAGCAAAGAAAATAAAGTGTTAATAATCTAGAGGTCCATAAATAGTGGAAAAGATAAATAACTTGTACTGTATTCATACAGAAGAATACACATAGAAGTGAAAATATTTGAATACAGCTATATTTAATATCATGGAAGAATTTCAAATCACTAAGTGTAATAAAAAAGTAAATTACAGAAAAAATACAATATGCTTGGGGATACGTACTTATGTGGCATCACTAAGAGTAAAACAAGGAAATGATTTTTATAAGGTGAAGTTCCTTTTGGATGGCTGGGTAGAGGGATCCAATGGGTGGGGCATGAAGAGGACTTCACAAATGTAATATTCTTTTATTAAGATGGCAGTTGGCATACAGAACTTTGCTTTATTCGTCTTTATTTATGTACTATATATGTTTTGTATACTTTTATGTGTGTGAGAGTTGGGAATTTTTACAAAAGATAGCATCAGGTGGGCAGGAAAATCATAAACTCTGTCTCAATGTCTGAGTCAAGTCATGGGATCATTTGGGTTAAGGCCAAAGGAGAAGGACAGACTCTGACCTGTGCTTCAGGTTGGTTTCAGGGCCACCCCAGCCCGTTATTCCTACAATAGATTGTAAATCTCCTCTTCTGCTAAATTTCCTGAGGGGCTTGGGAAGGGTCTCATTCTATAGATGAAGCACTTTAAGTGTAAATCCTCATTAGATGGCATTCCTGCTACAGTGTGATAATCAGGCAGCAAATATGCATACTGACTGATTCTCACCCTCACCTGCTTTACTGGAGAAGGGAAGAGGATAGAACACATTACTGAACTGAACAGAAGAGGAGGCATTATGCTGGCTTGGGAACAAAGGGTGCAGAAGTACGTGATTCTGCCACGCTAGCTTAGGGCCAGCCTTTTTTTTTACCTCAACCAGCAATAATGGATATGAGTTGTGTAGAGGCTAAGGCTTTCCAGCAGCTCTGTTTTGATGGAGTTATTTCAAAATGATTTGTTTTTGAAAGGGTGGTAGAATTATTGTGCCCTGACCATGTTGTAGAGGCTGACAGAGAAATTGTGGGGATCCAAAGCTAGGTCTCTACTTTGGTACTCTCCCCTGGTGCAGAGCATCTTGCCTCCAACCCAGAACTTAACGATGTCTGATCCTGCCGTCTTGGTCACCTGCTTTCTCCCTTCACACTGGGTAAAAAACAGATTCAGAAGGGAACAGAAGAAATGGCAGAAACCTAGAGACAGCTAGAGAAAGAGTTTTTCTTTCTTTAAATGGTCATAGTGTAGTAATTGAAGGTTCTAATTTTGAGTCATTAAAAAATGTAATCATTGCATTCAGTATAGTGCTTTTAAGAAAGAAAAAAAGAGTCTAAGTTATTAGGAGAAAAAATCCATAAAGAATGGTCATATTTTAAAGAAAAAATTGTCACTTGGATAAATCTATAGTCAGCTATTCCTCATTATTTTCTTAGGTAGATTATTACATTCCTCAGCAATACTGGAAAAATGAAGTATTATTCAAGATCAGCAGTTCCCAATGCTCTTGGCATCAGGGACCAGTTTTATGGAAGACAATTTTTCCATGGTTGGGGGAAGGAGGCTGAAGGGGGGAAGAATGGAATCTTCGGGCATCAGATTCTCCTAACGCACATGCAACCTAGATCCCTCACATGCACAATTCAAAATTGGGCCTGTGCGCCTATGAGAATCTAGGTGCTGATGATCTGACAAGAGATGGAGCTCCACTCACCCACAGCTCACCTCCTGCTGTGTGGTCTGGTTCCTAACAAGCCACTGACTAACACTGGTCCATGGCTGGGGGTTGGGAATCCCCATCTAGACAACAAGCCTGGCTGCACTGGAAATTGTTTGATCTATACTGACTGGATTTCCCACATCACTGCCATAAAATATTCTCGAGTGTTTCTGGGCAATCTTCAGGACATTGGTTTATCAGGGTCAAAGGGTCATGTATATGAAGCTTGCAGTACAATAATCTATTCTCAATGCTGAGAATAGGTGCGTTGTTGTGTTAGCATCATGCTTTTCCTTTGTAGAGTGACGAGGAAGTATGACAAGAGTGGCAGGCTCATCTGTAACGATGCTGACCTGTGCGACTGCTTGGAGAAGAACTGCCTGGGCTGCTTCTACCCCTGCCCCAAGTGTAACTCCAACAAGTGTGGACCTGAGTGCCGCTGCAACCGGCGGTGGGTTTATGATGCCATTGTCACTGAATCTGGAGAAGTCATCAGCAGGCTGCCATTTAACGTTCCTGACTAGTAGCTCTTACATGTGGACTGATTTACTTCTTCTGACACATTTAAGTTGACCTCTTTATCTTGGGTGAATTTTAGGGCATGGGAAAAAAGGTTGGGAAAATGTAATTGAAACTCATGCTTTCTCAAGCTGAAGGACAGTGTCAATGGGCCTTAATTCCATAACTTTCTTACTGTGTTTTCATACATTCCTTAACTTGTGCCCAAAGAATGTGACAATGGATGGACCAGCATCTCTCATCAGCACTCTGTATCTACTCTACCTTCAACTTAAAAATCTCTTCCCTCTTTGCTGACACCTGAGAAAACGTAGCTTCAATATTTTCAGAACTCAGCTGAGAGCTTTTCTTACGAAGTCTGGCAATTAAGTTCATGAACTCATATTAGAAAAAGTGTTACCTCCTTCATTGCTGAATATCACTGCAGTCACCTTTGAAGTACTCCCCTTGGGAAGCTATGCACCAACGCCAGTGCCTAATCTACCCATCAAAGCAGTTTTGGAACTCTTTTTCTGGAATGGCCATCAATGCTGTTGTTGTATTACCCTTGACAACCTGAATGTCATCAAAATGTCTTCCTTTCAATATTTCCTTTATCTTCAGGTAAAGAAAAAGTCATTAGGGCCAGATCAGGTGAGTGTGAAGGGTGCTCCAATACAGTTATTTGTTTGCTGGCTAAAAACTCCCTCACAGACCACGCTGTGTGAGCTGGAGCGTTGTCATTATGCAAGAGCTCCTTCGGGACCCTTTTTGCACATACTTTTCTCAAGCTAAGATTTTCAGTTAAGATTTTTCTGTTTCTCTTTTGATGTTTATTTGGTTTGCTATGCTTCTCACAGTCAGCCAATGATTTTGACGCACAATTCGATTAATTTTTTGTAGTGTTTTTGTTGGTTTTGCTTGTTACCGGTCATCCTGACCTCTCTTCATCAGTGACATTTTTTCTCCCTTTAGAAAAATGTTTAATCCATTTGCACACTGCCATTTTCTTTCTGGCATTATCCCCATAAACTTGGACTAACATGTCCCTGATTTCACTTCCACTCTTGACAAGTTTAACAAGAAATTTTTTTAAATATATGTTTTATTTTAAAGATGTGGGGTACAATTAACAAGAAATTTAATGATCGTTCATTGTTCTAATTCAAGCTCTGACAGTCTCACAATGGCACACAAAAACATGCAACAACAATAATGAATGCCACTCAGCAAGACACCACTACACATCAACATGAACAACAGTTGTGAGACACTGATAAACCCAGGATATGAAACCTTACCAAGTTGTTTGTACAGTGCTGCCAATTTAAGTGCAAGGTGGTAAGTTCGCTAACTTAATTGTCAGGTGTCATATATAGAACATAGAATTATATATGCTTCTACACTGTTGATGAGAGTACAAATTAGTTCAACTTCTATAGCAAACAGGGTGACAATTTCTAAAAGAACTAGAAATTGACCTTCCATACGACCCAGCAATCCCCCTTCTGGGAATATACCTGGAGGAACTCAGATCATTCTACAAAAAAGATGCCTGAGAATGCATACTTATTACAGCACAATTCACAATAGCAGAAACACAGAACCAAAGATAAGTAGACTGGATTTTTAAAATGTGGGACATATACACGATGGAATATTGCGCAGCCATAAAGAAGGACAAAACTGTGGACCTCGCAGCAACATGGATGGATTTAATCATCATACTCAGTGATCTATCACAGAAACAAAGAACTAAGTACCATATGTTCTCAGTTAGAACATAATGTGGATCCTGAACAAATCAGTGTTCTTTCCAAGATACCATGTTTCTCCCAAATTTGCCCAATTTTAAAACTCCCTAAGTGTTTTTTAATAATAATACACGTTCCTGAGCCTTATCCCAAACCTCAGAAATTAGAACCTTTTGGGATGAAACTTTGGACTCCATATTTTTAAACAAGCATCCCAGGTAAGTCTCATGATCAAACACATTTGAAAAACATTGCCTTTATCATCAATTGTCTTATTTTGGCACTAAAAAGCAATCCTAGGCAAATTATTATTAAAGTCTCCTTCCCTTCTGGCTCCTCTTAGCATTTAGTCTTAAGCATTAGATAACATCATCTGGTTTAAAATGATCTAGTTTTAAAAATGTATTGGCAAATTATATTGGTAAGTTTTCCAGGTAAAGCAAAAAAATAAAATAAAGTAAAAAAATTATATAATTACTAAGCAGACACCTCATACTGCCTTTATGAAAGCCTAGTAAAATATCTGATGAAGTGTATTTTTAGAAAACAGGTTATTTCATCTTGATCTGATGCCAATTTAATGCATTTCATAATAGCCTCCTGCAATAAGTAATTATTGCAAAAATAAATTTATGTGAATTGTCAGAAACCTATTTTGCAAGTGTCTAATTTTTATCACAAAGTGAAGAAAGCTCTTCAGCTATTTGAACTAAATTCAGATTAACAAGGAGTGCAGCTGTACTATCTGATTACATTAGCCAAGGAAATTGTCTTGTCAGTATGACAGCATTTTTCTCTCTTCTGCTTTGCTGTCTTTCAATACTGTGTGTCTTCATGAATATGTATAGAAATTGAAGGGAAGCTATTTTACAGAAGGTCATTTAAATATAAACTGGTACATACAGAAGGATTTACATAAATTACCCTGTGCTCATTTATGCAAGGATTTTGGACTGCAATGCCATATCACATCAGGTTGTGTGACGACTTTGAGTATAATTTGTGAGAATTAAGGATCTGTACAGTGTCTGAGACAATCCTTCTGTACTTCCCCTTCTGACTCCCCTCACCCAAAATGACATCCTGCATCTATTGCAGGTATAGACCTTGGGACACTTAACTCAGAGAAAAAAAATTTTAACTTCTCTTTTAATAAAAGTGAGCAATGCTGTCTTGGGTATTTTGTGAGTATTTTGTCAGATGGTAGTTCTGTAATGCCATGGAAACTTTTAGACATTGACATGAGTGAGGTTTTGGTGTTTGGCCATGCGGGCTGTTTGCGGCTTAAGTCCAGAGGGTGCCTTTTACATAGACTACTGTACAATGCCAATGCCCCTTAAAGTTGTACATAATAACCCTGCAGATAGGTGCCATTCGATAGGTAGATTTCTTGATTGTCCATCATTTCCTGTCACATACTCTGTGCTAGGCATTTTGTGCTTTAGACTAGCTCAAAATATTGTATAAAATACTTTTTTAAAATGTTTGTTTTTAACCTGTACAATGACTATTTGTATACCTAACTCTGAATTGTACCCATTTTTAAAATAAAAAAAATTTTGTAAAGTCCTTATGTCTTTTCCTCTTTCCTTCTACTCTTTTCTTTTGTCCTCATTCTCTGTGATGTCTATAACAGTGGAAGATAGCTTAGGCTAAAACTGTTTTTAGGATAACAGTTCATCTCTATGATCTAACCTAAGCAGTTTTTATACTTTTTTTATTTTTTCAAAATCTACATTTTAATCCCAGATTTAGAATATTCTTTTTCATATTCACAGATTTGCTAGAAGTCTGCTTTTCCACAGTATTTTTCTCCACTCTGTGAAAAGGAAATTACTTTCTTATCATCCCCATCCATGTCTAATAAGCAATTGATTACTTAAGCATCATATTCAACTTGAAAAATGTTTGTTTTGTGTTTGTAGTTTTAGCAGGTTATTTTCCCCTCACTATTGTGTGGTTCTCTCTCTCTCTCTCTCTCTCTCTGTGTATCTGTGTGTGTGTGTGTGTGTGTGTGTGTGTGTGTGTGTGTGTGTGTGTTTTAATTGGACAAAATTTAGATCAGATATAATGAATTCAGAGAGATTAGTGACTGAGTTTAATTCTTTTTCCTTCAGTAATGCATTTGGGCCAGGTGCAGTGGCTCACACCTGTAATCCTAGGACTTTGACGGAGGACTCAGGTGGGAGGATTGCTTGAGCCTATTAGTTCAAGACCAGCCTAGGCAACCTAGTGAGACTTTGTCTCTACAGAAAAAAAAAATCGAAAAATTAGCAGGATGGAGTGGCACATATCTGTAGCCCCAGCTACTTGGGAGGCTGAGGTAGAAGGACAGACTGAGCCCAGGAGGTCAAGGCTGCTATGAGCTATGACTGTGCCACTACACTCCAGCCTGGGCAACAGAGTGAGACCTTGACTTAACAATAAAAATACTGCATTCAATATCCTTGTGTGCTTAATAGATATACTACTTATCGGCCCATCATTTATTGATTTACTCATTTACCAAGCACCTCTTATGTGCCAGACACTTTACTAGGGGCTAAGGATACAATGGGTAATGGAAAAACCCTCAAACATGATCTCTGCCTTTATAGACTTTAAGGAGTAGTGGAGGGGGGAGAGGGAGATAAGGAGAGCATAATCAAGTGACCACACCAATGAATGTGAAAAGAGCAATAGGGGAGAGGAATTATAAGGAAATCTTTACATAGTCTGAGTGGTCACAGAAGTCTTCTCTAAGGGAGTGATCAAAGTTCTGAGATTTGAAAGGTAAGTCATATGTAAGAAGATGGGGGTGGAGAGAGAATGTATTTTGGCAGAGTAGAGAGCATGTCCCAAGGTCTGTGGCAGGAAAGGGCAGAGCATGTTCCAGATACTGTGTGGTTGGAGAGGAGCACGAGAAACTTCTGTAGAGTAGATGGTGGTAGTGTTATGCCAGGCCTTTCAGTCATGTTAAGGAATTTGTTCTATGCCTAAAAAACAGTAGGAAAGTGCTCAAGTGCTTTAAGAAGGGTTTGAGGGAGAGTGACTCAGTCATACTTGTATTTTTTAAAGACTGCTCTGGCAAGGAAAATAGATGGAGGGTAGGTTGTGATGGAAGAGATATGTGGGTTGAGGAAGGTAGAGAAACCACAGATGCCTCCCAGTATCCTGGTTTTCATGATCAAATACATGATATGTCCAACCACTGAGCCAAGGCACACTGGGAAAAGGCGAGGCTTGGGGAATGCTCAGGACTACAGTTGCTGAATCATATGTGAGTTGTATGTTTAGTTTTGTAAGAAAATGCTAAAGTGTTTTTCCAGAGTGGCTGTATCATTTTGCACTCCCACCAGCAATGTATGAGACGTTCACTTTTTCCACATCCTTGCCAGCATTTGGTGTTGCTACTATTTTTTATTTTAACTGTTCTGCTAGATGTACACTGATATCTTATTGTGGTCT